CCCCCCCCCCCCCCCCCCCCCCCCCCCCCCCCCCCCCCCCCCGGCCCTTCAGGAATAAACTTCTGGAGAGCCTGGCTTGCCTTGTTTGTTTGTTTGTGTTTTTCCTCCTTAGCACCCTGGAAGCCCAGGTGGGGAGCCTAGAGGGGTCCTGGAAGCCTTTGGCTCCTCAGCACCACGTGGGAGGGTCCTAGCATACAATGGGCAGGCCCTTGGGCAATCTTTTTTTTTTTTATTTTCCAGAACAAGGTGGAATAGAAAAAAAAAAGATTGCATGTGAAACTGTAGCTCTCTTATGTACAAGGTAGTGTTCCTTTAAAATATACAACAAAGTTGTCACATAACTTTCATTTTTTTCCCTCTCTCCCCCCCAGATGGTTACCATTAGACACAAATACTCTCTCTCACACACACACACACACACATACATATATATATACACACATGCATATATACATATATGTGTCAGTTCTCTGGATGCAGATAGCTTCTTCATAGGCCTTTTGTATTTCATTAGGTATTTATAATAGAATGATTTAAACAGAATTGCTGTTACTGTGTACAAGTTTCTTGGCTCTGCTCATTTCACTCTTCATTATTTCATGCAAGTCTTTCCATGTTTTTCTAAAATCATCGAGCTCATTATTTTCTTGGAGCACAGTAGTATTCCATCATAACATATGCCACAACTGCATCCCCCTCCCCCCACCTTAGTCCTTCTTGAATTTGACTGTAGGCAGTGCCTTGCCTGATTCGGTGGAAAGGGCCTGGCAGGCTGGAGACCTGGGTTCTACTTCCAGGACCCTTGGTCGTTCTGATCTTTAGCCAGCCTTCCTTATTTTCCTGGTGCAGTGCTAAGAAGTGGGACTCAGTGATTTCCAGGAGCCCATCTAGCTCTAGTCTCCTGGGGTCAAAAAAGGGACTTCCCACTTGAGAAGTTGGTGATAGAACTGATTCTTTGATCACCTGACAGAAGGGATGTGAAAATAGTGTGTCATGTACCAGCTGTTGTAATGCGTTGGAAGACACATACACACACAGACACAGAGGAACACACAAACATTCTAGTGATGGAAGGGCTTGATAACAACTTGTCATAATGATTTCAAGGTTCAGAGGAGACCTCAGTAAACTGGCACCCACCTTGCAGTAGAGTGGGTATACTGGGAAAAGAGAAGAGCAGGAGGAAGAGGAAGAGGAAGAAAAAGAGAAGACAGAGGGGGAGGTGGTTGAAGGCAGGGCCTGGGGTTGGTCCTGGCTCTGAACTAGGTGTGGGGTCTTAGAGCACTCAGGAGCCTCCTCAGTGAAATGAAGCTGCTTGGACTCTAGATCAGGGGACCTTCACATTTTGGGGTTCATGAACCCCTTTGATAGTCAGTCCGGTGGACCCATTTGCAGAATCGTGTTTGTTGCCCACATTCCTAATTGGGGATGCTCGAGGTCACTTAGAAGTTAGGGGAGGAATCACCAGAAAGAGGAAACAAAACACAACAGAAGGAAAAAAAAAATAGCAAATAGTATGCTTCGATCTGCATTCAAACTCCATAGTTCTTTCTCTGGATGTGGATAGCATTTTCCATCATGAGGCCTTTGGAGATGTCTTAGATTCTTGTATTGCTGGGAAGGGCTAAATCTATCGATATTAGTCATGGCATGACGTGACTCTTACTGTGTACAATGTTCTTCTGGTTCTGCTTGCTTCACTCCTATTGGTTCTAATTCTTACTTACAACATCACTAATGTGAAAATATGTTTAATTGAAATGTGTATGTATAGCCTATATCAGATTGCTTGCCATCTTGGGGAGGGAGGTGGAGAGGGAGGGGGAGAAAAATTTAAAACTCAAAAGCTTATGGAAGTGGTTGTTGGTAATGTAAAATGAGTTAATTTAAAAAATTAAAAAATAAAAAAGAACATGAGATCCTTGCATATGGGCACTATTTGTTTAGTTGTTTTTGTTGTGTTAATGCTGTTGTTGTTTGGAGGGGTTTTTTGTTTTGTTTTTTTCATCTCCTGAGTACCCAGTACACTGTATGTCATATAGTAAGCAAGTAATAAATCTTCATTGAATGAAAAAAAAAAGAAGTTAGGAGAAAGAAACATGTAATTCCCCACCCTCTGCCGCCATCTAAGTTCACAGAGCTCCTGAAAATCATCCATGGACTCTGGAGGGTGGGGTCTGTGCTCTCCAGGTTAAGAATCCCTGGTCTTTGGGGCAGCTAGGTGGGGCAGTGGATAGAGCGCTGGCCCTGAAGTCAGGAGGACCTGAGTTCAAATTCGGCCTTAGACCAAATACTTGACACTTACTAGCTGTGACCCTTGGCAAGTCATTTAACCCCAATTGCCTTAAAAAAAACCAAAACAAAACAAAAAAAGAATCCCTGGTCTTTGAGGTCTTTTCCAGTAACCTTCCCAATGGTCATTGTTTTGCCCCTCGATGACCAGATGACAATATCATATGGGGGATGGTGTAGAGGAGCTGAGATGAGGACCATGTAAAGAAAAGTAATGGCAGTCACCCAGAAGAGCTGGCAGTGGGTTATCTGGTGTCCTTACAAGACTGATCTCCCTGAACACATTGTACTTCGAGCTCCCACAGAGAGCAGGGAGCATTGTTCAGAAGGATGGCCTTGTGTTCCAGCAACATCCTGAGTTATCAAAAGACAGTTTGACATTGTACATTGTATTGTATTTACTAAGGCAGGAATGTGGACTCTTTATCTGTTGAGAAGATAATTTGTCTACAAGTTTTAAAACAGAAACACTTTTCTGGTTCACCTTCAGCTCAGAAAATTAAAGGAATGGGACAGTTTGCTGCATTCAACATTCTGGGGAATTCACATGTAAACATCTAGTAAAGAGAGGAAACACTGGTGTGGGCGCTATCGGGCTGAAGTCATTACCTGGGAAATGCAAGTTGAAATCCTGCCTGTGATGCTTTTAGCTGTGTGGTGGTCATGAGCACTCAAGTCACTGAGTCTCAGTTTTATTTTATTTTTTTAATTTTAAAAATTTTTTAACTGTCACATTACTGTATTTGCAAAACAGACATGCAATATTTTTGAAGGAAAAATAAAATAAATG